GGGTTCGGGGCCCCCGGGCGGCAGGGTTCGGGGCCCCCGGGCGGCAGGGTTCGGGGCCCCCGGGCGGCAGGGTTCGGGAGCCCCCGGGCGGCAGGGTTCGGGAGCCCCCGGGCGGCAGGGTTCGGGAGCCCCCGGGCGGCAGCCCCATGCGGCGGGCCTTTGGCTTTCTGTTATGGGCCCCAGAAAGTCTAATGCCGTCCCTGCTTGGCAGATCCCCTGAAACCTGCTCATGGCCCCTCCCAGGGGGCCCCAGACCCCTGGCTGAGAACCACTGCCCTAAGGGACTAGCAACTACTGTGTATACATTGAGCAATGAACACCCCTAACTCACACTACTGATTGGGAAACCCTCTGAAAATGAATGCACTTTAAAACAAACAAACGTGATTAAAAACAAGGATAGTTGATTACAAGATGTAGCTGGTTCACTTATTTTGACAAATGTTGTTTACAATGATTTATCCTAACAGTTCACTGCATGCTAGCAACTGTTTTTCCCCCCCCATAGTACATCTTGTATAAAGCTCCAGTAATATGTGTAACCTTTCCAGTAAGCTCACACCACCACTCTGCTATAACATCTTTACTGAGAAGTGGGGCAAGGCTGCTGGTTAGGACGATATGCAAGTTTGTGGCTCAGAGAGGTTCTACTGCTATATAAGTGGTTTGGGGCATGAGGGGGAGGAGGAAGATGATGGAGATTCAGAAAGCTCTACATCTTGCAGACAGACTAATTCCACTGGCTGTATGAAGCAGTTCCAGAGCTGCCACAAGGGGCTAGTGTGTTGCACCTCACCTTACATACATGCTGCTTCTTGCAATCATGCTGGAGCTCTCTGCTCTAGAATTAACCCTTGCCAATAAAGCAGTGATCAACAGAGGCAGTGTGGCCAAGTGGCTAGACCTCTGAACTAGGACTCAAAAGAGCTGAGTTCTATTCTCATCTCTTCCACTGGCTGAGTGACCTTGGTCAAGACGCATCACCCCTCCGTGCCTCAGTTTCCCCATCTATAAAATGGGGATGATACTTCCTTTGTAAAGTGCTTTGAGATCTACTGAAGAAAAGCGCTACAAGATATTATTATAGGAGCTAGCTAGGATGCAGAAGGGCCACATTGAAAACTTCAGCTTTCTATAACTTAAATAGGAGAGATCTTCCACAGCTAAACTCAATGGAAAGAAGCATCTTCTTGGTTTACACAAGCATCTTAGCATTTCTTGAAGTGATAACATGCTATGAGATTCTCTTTGGATAACACCATTTAATTCAGTGGATCTTATGGCGAAATTGCAATTTAGGTGTTTTCCATGAGAAGGAAGCAAAAAACTGCCCCCTATCTTACACAAAGGCAAAGCAGTGCCTTCTAGAGTTACAAGGAACTTGCTGGCAAAACTCAGAAGCACCAGAGTAAAGTCTAATGCCAGGTCTACACGA